CGTCACTCACAAGTTAGTTTGATGTTACGTACATTATTAACATTACAGAATCCACATATTCCTGCCAGTTTTAATATGTATTTTGTAATCAACAAGTGTGTAACACCGGTCAAAGTTTGACACTTCTCTGGCCATTATCTCTGTAACCGTTCATCTTTGGACATAGGTGTTTTGGGTTATATCGGCATACTTTAACATAAGGAACACCCTCCCGAAGTTTGGTCCATTCCTCCTGGGACACTCTGTATATATATATTAATTATATAATTATTCCAAATAATTGATATTCATATTTTTGATGAAATTCATTGTAATAATTCCCCATTCAAATTTTGGTGGGCTTTATTCTGGTAATTAAGGAATTATTCCAGTTTGTATTTCTAGTAACTTGAGCTGGTGTGCATCAGCAGACAGTTTCATGCACAAACATTTTTGTTTTGCAGGACAATATCTTGAACTCTCTGTATCAGCTGTGGATTCTAGGAGCCCTAGATCACACAGGAACTCTGACCCCACTGGGCCGCCAGATGGCGGAGTTCCCACTGGATCCGCCACAGTGCCAGATGCTCATTGTTTCATGTCAGATGGGCTGCTCAGCAGAAATTCTGATTATAGGTACAGGTTTAATTTGTTTAACCCTTAAGCATACATTTTGCACTTTGAACATGGGGCTGCCTTGCCTTCAGTCGAAACTCTTCACTGAAGGGCCTTCGGAAATACTGTCTAAGGACCTACTTGTCTTGGACAGGAACCTCTGTAGACTGATAGCAGGATTGTGTGTTGGCCACTCTACACTGAAATGGCATGTACATGTTATGGGCCTGTCAGGTGATTCTGTATGCAGAAAATGCAGAAGAATCCTTCAACCACATATCTTATCAATATCTGGCTTTATCCAGGCATAGAATGAGCTTCAGCTGTTCATGGTTGAGCCAGTAGATATTAGAAAGACCTTTCTGAAAAGGTTCTGGCTATACCCCTGAGAACATTCCTCTTTTTAAGGGCCCTAACGAGACCCAGTGGTGGTCTGGCTGCTTGGGGGTTGATGAGTGGAAGTTTTCTCTCCTACATCAAATATTCAGTACTGAGGCATAGACCATTAAAATGTAAAGGACCTTAATTGCTTCCTGGCTTCAGTACCACAAAATTATTATTATTATTATTTATTTATTTCATCCATAGCTGTAGAGAATTATAATTGGACATGTCAAATATCAACAACCTCACATCAAAAATAACATAAGTAAAAATAACATAAAATTCACACAGTGATTCATCACTATAATACAGCAATACATTTCAAAATACATATTTAACTTAATTTAAGAATAATAAATACTCCAAAAAAAGACATAATAATTATTTTAAACATATAGACAGATTTATTAACAAGCAGTTTATGTCAGCAATTAATAATAATAAATACTCCAAAAAAGGCATAAAAATATACAGACAGATTTATCAACAAGCAGTCCATGTCAACAATTATTAAAAAATTACACAACAAATAATTCTTAAGTTTCTTCTTAAAAACATTAAAATTTATTACATTCTTTAATTCAATATTACAGCNATAAAAATATGTTGTGTGGTCGGTAAAATTGACTCTAATATTGATTAAATACACAACAGGATGCAAGAAACAATTAAAGTTATTCTTTAATTCAGTTGGAAGGCCATTAAATATTTTGGTTCCCATACTAATCACCCCTCTCTTGATATGCTCAGTATTACAAAATTGTACATACAAATTGTGTGTATGAATAGTGTTATAACCATGTACATCAGAATACTGGGCGGTGTAAATCTATTTTTTTATTATAAAACATAGGATGTCAAAAATATATAAGGAAGTAACAGTTAAAATCTTTAATCCACGAAACAAATTTCTACAGGAAACTCTATTTTTAACACATTTTGTCACCCTTACACATTTTTTTCTGCAGTTTAAATAGAGTTTCGGAGTCCTTTTGCACCCCACCCCAAAAAATAATACCATATTTCAACACGGACTCAAATTTTGCAAGATACACACTTCTTAAAACAGTTTGGCTCACTGAGTCCCGTAGGGATTTTATCAAATAGGTAGTCTTGCTAGGTTTTTGACATACATATTGGGTGTGGGTTGCCCAATTTAAATCTTCAGTAACGCAAATACCCAAAAATTTTACATCCAGTGAACAAACCACCTCATTATTTATATAAAAAAGGGGTCTGGTAATTTGAATAGTTCTACTGTCCCGAAAAATTGTACTTATAGTAGGCTCAGCGCTAGTGGAGGCTTTCAGTTCTGAGATTGATATGACTTGTCAAATGTAATTTGGAAAAACAAGAGCTAAACATAACCTATATGATTGATGGTCATGTGCATGGTATAACTACAGTAGTCAGCGAAGTTGGGGTAACATAAAAGAGAAAACTAGGATTTTAAATTAATTCTGATATGCTGATTACAAATCTAGATACATAAATTTTCCATTTTGTGAGTTTTTTATACTGAATTTTGAGCCAAAGCAGGTTTTTTTTAATGTTTTTCTTTTTTTCTTAGAGCTCTTATTATTTCACCAACACAGTGCGGGACAAATTATGTTTAGTTAATGAATAAAAGTTTACTCGCATTCAATTTATGTCATTGTTTAAAATTTTACAGTAAGTGATTTGTACATTCATATGTTTTGCATAGAGTAAAATGGCTGACAAAATGACAGTGTATGTCACATCTTTTGATTGCCATTTTTATGATTACTATACTCAATTTATTAAAACAACAGCTGATTTCATACATGGGTCTGTTTGACCATCTTCCTTACAACCTGTCTACGAACTGAATTCTCATCCTGCATACTTCGTCCATGAAGATGGAGACAGCATATCCCACTGAAACGTTTGTGTTCTCATGTAAGACTACATGGTATTCCAACTCAGATGATCACAATTTGATCTAAGCCTATATTGGTTCTGATTCATGTTGAATTTGTTACAGTGTCGATGCTGTCAGTGCCATCTATATTTTACCGTCCGAAAGGCCGAGAAGAGGAGGCAGACGCTGTACGAGAGAAGTTCCAAGTACCTGAGTCTGACCATCTAACATACCTCAATGTTTACAATCAGTGGAAGAGTAATAAGTAAGTGATTTGCTTGGCTGTTTGCTATCTCAGGATTGTCGATAATTCAGAATAAATGACATACAAATTTAATGTTCCTATATTTATTAAAATCCCATATTCACTGAATTATTTCTCTGATCTCAGCTGAAACCTGATTTAAACAATGTATTGTAGTCTCATTTACAGAATTTTAGTTTAGTAAGTGAACTTTATTTAGTATAAGGAATTTTTTGACATTCCATAACTTATACCTTTATGTAATGCAGTTGCAGTTAAAACAGCAGTTGATATTCATATTTGTCTGCCATAAATTGTTACTGCACAACCATAATCTTTGATAGGACTTTGCATTATGCTTTTGTGCTGTCTGTGTGCAGTATTGGTGACTATTCTCTTGTCGTTTCTCTTTGTTGACACCATGTGTTTGGGCCTAACTGGCCATCATCAGGTGTACGGGTTATTATGATGGAAGGAACCTGCTGCTCACTAATGCTGTTATGTTTCTCTTATGTAGTTGCCTTGGATTACTTCTGGTTATGTTGGTTAACCATCTGTTTTATTTAGGTGTTCCTGAACTGTATGTGTTGCCTTATCTGTATTTTGTGATGCGTTATGTTAGAGCTTTAGTTTTAGGTCCATATGCATATTCAGTTACTGTATATATGATTTTACTTATGGTTTTGTTGGTTTATTGTCTGTGGCCATCTTGAATATTCTTGTTTGGGGTGGAAGTTTATTGTATGGCAGTCACCCATCACGGTCATTTGTCTTTAGTGACTATGTCACACGTTGAACACAGCCATGAGTGTAAAAAGTAAAGCTATCCCTGTACCAGGCCATGAAGGCCCATAGGGTTGTGAGACGTTGAGGCTCCCACATTATCTAGACAATCGACTCAAAGATGGCGGCAAGGTTGTCAGCCTTATGCGCTGGCCGCGCTTTACTCCCCAGGAAAATTATTTAATTAATTCCTGGTACTTATTTCTGTTAGAGGCTGAGTAAACCCTAGGGCCATAGGGTTTACTTCACTTCCAGCCATAGGCTGGAAGGATTAGGCCAACTGAAAAAATCCAGTGACCTCATCGGGACTTGAACCCGTGACCTTCTGACTTGTAGCATAACCCCTCAACCAACTACGCTACCGCGTACCCCCAGCCATGAGTGTTATGAGTATAATTAATGTGTTTGTTTTGTGTGAGTATGAAACCTGTGTTTTGTCTCAGAGGGGAACAAATAGCTATGAAGGGTACTTAGACCTGAGAGGGATAAAGTAACAGGAATGTAAAAATGATACTTATGTATGTAAATGGTAGGCAGGTTCAGAATTAGTCTGCAGTGTCTAGTGAGTGCAAATCCAGCAGTCCTGTAAAAAGTTGCAAGGAATAATAGGTCTGTCCATTTGCAGATTTCATCTCTGAAAATACTAATGGGCTTTAATGAAATGTCTGATATACACTGTAAGTAATTCATGTTGTCGCATTATCAGTCTGGGATAGGTCACTCAGTAAAGTGGATGGCGACAAGCTTTAAGTGGTGCTCAGTTCTGAGTAGTGGTGGGATTCTTCTGTTATAGCAGCTGCAGCTTGAAACTGACCACTTACTTCCATCTGATGTTGAGCTCTAGAATCCCATTACATATTTATTTAGTGTCACTTAAACACAGACAACTTTACATTTACAGCAAACCCTCACTAATCTGGTTGCAGTTAATCTGGGTGTCAGATAATCCGGGTCAAAGTATGAAAAATGAAAAAATGCTGTTCGCAGCTGAGTACATAAGACAGGTGGCATTTAGGAAGGCAGATGAGTCATTTGTCTAGTCAGACAAAACTTGAGAGTTTCTTCAAACTTGCATTATTACATTCAGAAACAAGTACAATTTCTGAGTCTTCTCTTGATTAATATAAATGTACTGTCTTTTTATAGTTTTTAAATGAAGGCTGTACTGTGATGTTTTGTTATTTATTTTCATCAGCAGGTCATTGGATTTTTTTTCACTTGACCTAATCCTTCCAGCTGCACTATGGCCCTGGGGTTCACTCAGCCTCTAACAGAAATGATTACCAGGAATTAAGTAAATAATTTCCCTGGGGAGTAAAGCGCAGCTGGCGTGTAAGGCTGACAACCTTACCGCCATCTTTGAGCCGATTGTCTAGATAATGTGGGACACTCAACATCTCACAACCCTATGGGCCTTCATGGCCTGTTACAGGGATAGCTTTACTTTTTACTTTTTTACTTTTACTACTTATATCATTAAATTTTCCATTTATTTGTGTTCTAAGTTATTTTTTGTCTTTTAGGGCTACCTTTTGCATCATTAACCTGGATTATTGCTTAATCGTGATGACCTCCCCCCCCAGTTACTCTTTACTCTGGATTAGCATGGCTTTACTGTCTGTTCATTATATCAGTCCATGGTGATATGTCACATACTACAGTAATTGTTTAAGGGCTGATTGACAGTGAATGTGGCTGTTCTTATAGAGGAAATTCATGTGTTGTGCTATACTAACATAAGGTTCTGTGCAGTTACTCTGCAGGGTGGTGTAACGACCACTTCATTCATGTGAAAGCAATGCGCAAAGTGCGCGAAGTCCGTCAACAGTTGAAGGATATTTTGGTCCAACAGAAAATTGAGGTTGTGTCGTGTGGCACCGAGTGGGATATTATTCGCAAGTGCATTTGCTCAGGTATGCCTGTCTTACAAATGAGTGAAGAGTGAAGGAAACTGTTAAAGTTAGGTACATTTTGGGTGAATATGCTGCTTCCATTACAAGTCAATGGAAGAGGTAGGAATGCTTTTCTAGTAGTAAATTGTGAACATTTCTCATTAATACACAATAAGGGTCAAAGGTAGACTGCAATGTAGATCCACTACAGTCTGGAGGTGGTATAGTGATCCCTGGCCTGACCTCTCTGTGCTATTGCAACCTCTGACTTGGATGGAAGAAGGTAGTACTGTTGTAAAATCTTCATTTTGACTCTAAATGTCGAACAGTCAAAATGCAGCCAGAAATGATGTGTTAATGGAAACTGGTAACCTGGCCAACACATGCTGTTTTGAGGCAGACAGGGCTGAGTGCTGATATGATGGATCATTCAATCACAGAGAGCCCATAGCACCATAGCAACCAGCTGCTATCCTGACTTGTGGGGCAACAGCAGAAGGTTGAATAAAATAAAAGTTCTCCCTAAGATGTAGACACTTCATATAATTCATATTACCTCCTATATTGCAGCATACTTTCATCAGGCTGCCAGACTGAAGGGTATTGGAGAGTATGTGAACTGTCGGACAGGAATGCCATGTCACCTTCATCCAACATCAGCCCTCTTTGGAATGGGCTTCACTCCCGACTTTGTTGTGTACCATGAGCTTATAATGACTGCGAAGGTGAGCTGTGTTATGTTTGTAGTGGCTTTTGAAGCTCACATAAGTGTCTTTGTGCCCTCATTTCAACTTCTGAACCAGATAACTGATTTTCAAGAAACTGGTTTGAATATTGTGCCACTGGAGACTACTGTGGTGCCATAATGTTTAATTTCCTACATTACATAATAACCATATGGTAGACACACGAATTTATGAGATGAAGTGAGACTAAAAACACTTGCTTTAGGGTTGTGAAATGACATGCGGTAGTATATTGTGACCTGTAAACACGTTGACAAACACGTTTCTATGGAGGTAGATTCTTGGAAGCAAACTTGTTATGGAACATGTTTCCTGGGATAAAAAAATGAAAGATGTTTCCATGAAAATAGATTTTTGGGATCACCAGGTGTTTTCATGGATATGGCTGTTCAGCCCAGAATGAAGTCATTCATGAATCAGGCTCTAGTCAGTCATAGTTCAGATCAGAATAGAGAGAGACCAGAATGGGAACAGTCGTAGGCAGTCATTTATTGTGAGTTGCTGTAAGTCATTGTTACTGTGAGAGTTTTTACAAGAAGATGCCAATAAATCCAATCCAAAACCCATTACTCTTGGTCATGCAGCCATAAAAACATGACAGTGTCTTGGTAAAAGACACAAATTTTGTCAAGGTAATATTTTTATAAAATGTAAAATAGCAGTAGACCTAGATGTAGGTGGGAGGTTAATATTAAAATGAATCCTAGATGGTGCAGTGTGGACTGGATTCTTCTTGCTCAGGGCAGGGACCAATGGTGGACTGTTGTGGACAGTCGTGAACCTTCAGGTTCCATAAAATGTTTGAAAATTCTTGAGTAGCTGAGCAACTGGTGGCTTCCCACAAAAGATTCAGCTCAGTGGAGTTAGTAAAATAACAGTATGGCCATGCAAGAATTTTCTTTAGCTTTCAGTTTGATTGCAATAACTCTTGATCACTTGGAGCTGGTCATGTAAGTTTAGTTCAGGGATATTCATAGAATATATTGTAAATATTATGTGTGAAATACTGATGTAAATCAGCAGTTACAAATATGATGATAATGCAAAATTTTGAGGGTACGTTTGACAAATTGAGTATATACAAGGCCTGTATTTAAGTACTTTCTAAAGTTAAAATAAAAATAATAATAGAGTAATAGATCTGATGGACTCTAAAATATTTCTAGCGGGAAAGTAGGTTTATGAGTTCTGTTAAGAATTCCTTGTTCAAAATATCCCTTTCTTTATTTCCCCAAAATGAAATTCTGCATGTGTTTCTGGTGCTGTAATATATGCCATTGTCATGCAGTGAGTGGCATATCAACTTCTCATAAATGTGCTGTGCAGGAGTACATGCAGTGCGTGACAGCAGTGGACGGCCATTGGCTGGCAGAGTTAGGGCCCATGTTCTTCTCCGTGAAAGAAACTGGACGTTCTGGACGTGCTAAGCGTCGTCAAGCACTGGAACATCTTCAGGAGATGGAAGGGCAAATGAAGATTGCTCAGGAAGAAATCAAGGCTCGCAAAGAGGAGCAAGAACGAAAGTTGCAAGTTGGGACTCGAGTGTATGTGTAGCTTTAATTGTTTCTTGCATCCTGTTGTGTATTTAATCAATATTAGAGTCAATTTTACCGACCACACAACATATTTTTATTATTATTACACTACATGTTTCGACCTCAAGAGGTCATCCTCAGGTGTACGAACACAGCTGTATAATTACACGCAATCACATTCATCTTCTCACTTATTCGATCCTGTATCTTATTCAGGCCCATGCTCAATAATATATCAAGCTTCTCTCACGAAACACAAGTTAAAATTGTTCTAAACGTCAAAAGTTAAAATTTAAATTTAAAATTGTTTAAAAAATTTAAAGTTTTTGAATTGACTTTCAATTCAGGTCAGTTGTTATGCTTTCACTTTCACTTGTATTCAGTCACTTCCTACTTACGTTCATCACTGCATCAAGTTCACTTTAACTAGTTTAGTTATATTATTGATTAAACGTTCATGAATTAAAGTTCAATTTTATTATAGATTGCACTTTTTCACTTTTTGGAGGTCTTGCTGTTCTACTGCGTCTTCTAAAGTTGTGGATCTGTTACGGTCCATGTCGTGATGGCTACTGATCTATAATAAAATTGAACTTTAATTCATGAACGTTTAATCAATAATATAATTAAACTAGTTAAAGCGAACTTGACGCAGTGATGAACATAAGTAGGAAGTGACTGAAAAAAGTGAAAGTGAAAGCATAACTAGTGACCTGAATTGAAATTTGATTCACAAACTTTAAATTTTTTAAACAATTTTAAATTTAAATTTTAACTTTTGACTTTTAGAACAATTTTAACTTGTGTTTTGTGAGAGGAACTTGATATATTATTGAGCGTGAGCCTGAATAAGATACAGGATCGAATAAGTGAAAAGATGAATGTGATTGTGTGTAATTATACAGCTGTGTTTATACACCTGAGGATGACCCCTTGAGGTCGAAACATGTAGTGTAACAATAATAAAAATATGTTGTGTGGTCGGTAAAATTGACTCTAATATTGTATGTATAGCTTGTTCGACTTTATTCTCATTTTTAAGTGTTCTGTGCGTTATGTGAAGGTTATGTTTGTCTGTCTGTCTGTGACCTGATATTGGTGCTAAACTGTTGGATGTACTTTCTTCAAATTTGATATGGGAAATTTTCACTAAAAATTCAGCAGTGTGAATTTCGGCCATATTGATCCATAAGAAGGCTTCAAGCATAGTCTTCTGGGCTGTAATGCTGTGTAGTATGGAGAGAGCCCTGTGTTTTGGAGGAACATACACCTCCATCTTCAGCAGTTTGCCACCTGCTTCTGCTCATTTCTTTCTTGGCTTTCTCTTTGACCCTGAAGAAGGAGGTGATATGTTCCTCTGAAACGTTGCGCTTCCTCTGAACTATGACAGTACAACCCAGATGTCCATACTCTTCATGGTCACTGCCGTGAGAACCTCAGATCCAACCCATTGAAGCCTGGTTAACACAAGGCTTTAAATTAACTTTTCTGTGTGTCCCATAAACAGTTCTGCAGGTATTTTTGGAATTAGATGTGGAAGACTTTTACCAAAACTTGCTGGGCTGTTCTACTTTGTTTCAACAATATTATTGGTCCATAATAAAACTTAAATTTGCACAAAGCCATAAATGGGCTTCTTCGTGCATCTTGCAAATAGTTGCAAAAATTTGGTGAAATTCAATTTGGGATTCAGGAAATTCACATTTACAGCCATATTGATCCACATTAAGGCTTGGTTTACATATAGCTATAAATGAATTTTCCATGTATCCCATGAATCCTTCTACTTTGTTGAAATTCATTATGGGAGACTTTCTATTTAAGTATAGGAGTACTTAATAGGCTTAAAAAATGCCTTTGGTAATTTTTTGCACTATATCATGGAATACACCCATTGAAATCTTGTTATTATTAGTGTAATCAAATCAAGATGGTTACATTAGGCTGGACATGTAGCATGAATTGGTAAAGTAGTCAACACACGTGTAGAGTTAACTAACTGACTGGTGATTGTGATTACTTAGTGCTCGATTGCTGAGACAGCTGTAATGTCTTGGTGATTGTGATTACTTAGTGCTCGATTGCAGAGACAGCTGTAATGTCTTTGCGACACTGGAAACTTGATTCATGAAGTGGCATTTGAATCAGTGTAGTTTTGGTTTCAAGCATGGAAATATAATAGTTAAGCTGTCGACCCTATAGAAATTAAGATGCTGTCAAATGATAAACATGTTCATTTTTTTTTTCAGGGCAGAAATAGTAACTCCAGGAGTAAGGGAGCCTGGAACACCGTGCAGAACTCCTGCACGATTTGGACTTTGAGGATCTGGTGTTCCTATAGCATGCTGGACAATCAGCATACACTGTTGCTCTTGTGACAGTAGCGTTGTAATGCATAGTGCGGTAATGCAGGCTGTACAGATACAGTACAGAGCATAAGTAGAGAGGATGGCCAGAATGCAACCAAAACAGGCCCTTCTCTTCCTGTTGGCAGAGATGCTGGTATATGAAGAGAAGTCAGAACATAACTTACCTGCAGAATGTCATGTCTTTGTCTTACAAAGTTGGATTCCAGGCAGCGCAAATGGAATAATTGTTTCAATGACAGAATTAGAGTTAGCTGTTGTCTATCAGCTGACAAATTTTGTCACTACAGTAACACAAACTGTGTGGAATCTTGTGTTGTAGTGTACTGGACTTAGCATGTGAGAATATCAGAGAACAGCAGGAAAATATATTATTTGAAGTGAGCAGGGCAGCGATAATCCAAGAAAGAATCATCATCTCCTCCTCTTACTTTCTAATATTATTATTCTTTATATATTCTCTTTCTCCATTGTCCTTCTTATTCTCTTAATTTCTGTTCTCCATCTTCTTACAGTTTTTCCTCTTCTCCTTCCCTCTTTTTCCCTGATCCTTCATCTTCTTAACTTCCTATTCCTCTGTCATTACTTTCTCTTCCTTTGTTAGTGTCCTGACATGTACTAGTCACTACATCATGAAGACATATGGGGGAGTGGAGGTATAGTTCCACACATTCTTAACTTTGGCACTAGGTGGTGCTGGATGGCACTGAGTGGTCAGCTTTCAGCTCTGTCCACTTTACCCATAGAAAAGAACCCCTGGTACTCAGTGGATAGGAGGTTTGATGAGCCACAGAGCTGGTGTTCACCTAGTGACATAGACAGATGTTCCTATGCATGTTTGAAGTCAGAAGCCAGTCATTCTGCTTACAGATTTTCACTATACAGACTGAACTGTTTTGGCTTATACGTACTACTGATTGGTGCAGAAATGCAAAAGGACTTGGTAAAAGTTAACAGCATTATGAGTTGGGAAGAACATTACCAAGTATGTTTACAAAAGATTTTTCCATTTTAAATATTAAAAAAGGCGTTTTTGTTTTTTTATTACTCCCCTTTGCTTGTCTCGGATGCTACAGTTGAATTTGTCTGATCCACAGAATGGCTATGTAAATTCCGAGATTCAGAGCCATTCGATTATCATGTTTGGAATGATACTGAACAGCTAGTGCACAAGAACTTGGAAGAAATGTTTAAGTCTTGCAGTTCCTGCAACAAAGAACCAAAATTGTGTGGCCTGTCAGAGTAGATAACATCCAATCATCCACCAACAAATGCAAGAAATGGGTTCAGTCAGTAATCCAAGAAAACTGGGCCCTGTTCAGTGACAATTGTGATAAAAACAAGTGGTTTAGTTATAAATAAAATCCCTGTGTTTAACATTCAAAATGGAAAATATTTTTCTGTGTAATGAATGAACTGAACTGAATAAATCTCTCTGTACACATACTTAGATATCTTGTATAACTTGAATGAATTCCATTCTAATGTATATAGCTGTTCATTGTATACCAATTCTTAAACTGATTTTTTTGTGCCATCCAGTAAACATATATCACTGCATCATATTTAAGACATGATTATTTAACATTATGGGTATTAAAATACAATTATTACATTCTTTTTGGTACTAAACATTACATCCTGGGGAGTAAAGTGTGGCTGGCGCTTAAGGCTGACAACCTTACCGCCATCTTTGAGCCGATTGTCTAGATAATGTGGGACCCTCAATGTCTCACAACCCTATGGGCCTTCATGGCCTGGTACAGGGATATGTTTACTTTTTTTTCTTTTTTAACAAAACATTACTTGTGTTGAAATCATAGCTAGTACTTTCAGTCATTTAAATACTGTAAAAATGTTGCAGAGTAAATAACATTTAGTTTTCATTCTGTACACAATGATACAATGTAAACTCCAGAAAAATATGGATTTATTTCTTAAGAAAAGAATATCCTGGTGAAACCTTATATCCTTGCTTTATGTAGCTCATCCTTATGGATTTTTTTTGAGCGTGGTATGCTCTCAGTTGTCTGTGCTAATGGCGAGGAAGAGATGCACAGATAATAAAAAATCACAGTTACTCTAATTTGGAAATGTATGCACTGCTTCCATTTTGTTTATCTGGAAGACTGTGAGGCTTATGGAAAAAGTGTATTTAAAATAAATTGTTTCACTTTTTTCTTGAAATATTTTCCATTCTAACAAATGTTCAGCATGTTATGCTTGAGATATGCATAGAGACATACATAGGTCTTAATGTAAAGTGATTGTTACAGTTTTTCAAACTCAATGGTATGATAATAGTCATAAAATTCTAGAATAACAGATTTCATCAAAATCCATCTACTGGTGTTTGGGTTGTTTGTGCATGTGGACAAACAGCAAACTTTCCACCAGGTTGCATATATGTCTGAGAAACTTGCATGGATGAGCTGAAAACTGGATAATCTGTGCACAATCAGGAATATACAGCAAGCTGATTTCTGGGCTGCTGTTAGAACAGTTTCAAAGAGTTCCATAAAACTCATATGTTATACTGAAAACTATCGTACATTCGGTGGACTTGGAAGAAATTTATTTATTTGTTCTTGTTATTTAACAATGCTTTTTCAGCTATAGATTATGTAGCATTGAATGAGATGAGTAAATAGATTATGAATGATGGGTAGGTAAGAATTTGGAAGGAGGTGATCACAACCATTTTCAAGGTACTGTGTATGTATTTTCCTGGAGAGACTGAGAAACGTAATGAGAAACCTGTCAGGAGACACAGTAGCCCAACCAAGATATGACCGGGGGAATCATTGATTGATTTGAAACTGTTGAGATCATGTGGAAATAAATGAGCATTATTCATTGCTATGGGACTACATGCATTATACTGTAAAGTGAGTCTTCCTTACCAGTTCACACTCTCAGAAGTAGGATAACTGTCATACTCTGTGGCCTCATAGTATTCAGATTGTGGTCTTGATGCCGTATAGTCTTATAGGTGGATACCAACATTTCAGAGGAACAACCATCTTCCATTTGCAGTGTAACCGAGTGTGTAGGGTGTAACGTTCCCACCTCGTGACTCAAGGTACACGGGTTCAGACCCGGCGGAGGTCGTGGAATTTTTAAGGGCAGAAAAATTCAGGGAACAAGTCCTCTGGGAGGGACTTTAAGCCGTGTGTCCCGTGTTGTAGATTTACGGCACGTAAAAGATCCTCATGTCTCTAGGAGACCTCTGAGCAAAATTAGGCAAAGTTTCCCGCCCAAGTAGTTTCCAATTCCTCCGGTAGATGGGGAAGTATCGGGGACCACTGCCAGAGAGGGCCGACCTCGCTGGCAGAACGGGGCTGATAGCGAGCACCAGTACTGCAAGGGCATGGCGACTAGTAGAATAATTAAAGGGGGACGCACAATAGATCAACAAATGGTTGCAGTGCATGGGGAAACCCACCCCCTCCAAATAATAATAATAATAATAATAATAATAATAAGAGTGTGTAGGGTGATGCACCTGACAGGCTGCAACGGAAGGTGGTCACTCTTGTGGGAGAGCGAGAGGAGATAGAACCTGAGTTCTGAAGATAGTAAAGAGAAAATACATTCTTTTGTCAGGAATTGACAGGAATGGTCCTACAGTCTGTAGCCTGTCCCTGCACTATTATAGTTTATAATAGAGAGGGAGATAGTTTCTTGCCTGGCTGTAGATTTCATAATCCTCCAGTCACTCTAAAGTGGGGACTGAACTGTGGATCCCAGGCTGCAGTGTCAGGAATCATACCATGTCCATTACTTTATCATACAGTAAAATATTTGGCAACCTTTATTCCAGTAAATGTGGCAGCTTATAAGAAAAGAGCACTTCATTGACAAATTACATTATAACATTTTTTAAACCTGAATGTATAATTGTGTGTCAGGATATCATTTATTCTTGTCACAGACAGGGAAACATTCCTGCAATAAGAATCTGGCAGTCTGGAGGAAGAAGAAAGCTCAGAGAAAAATGTTTGTATGTCATCTCCATATTTTAATTTCCCACGAGACTATTATGTAACTTTATGCATTTCTGTTTTATTTGGGCTGAAAGGATTGTATCTAGTCTGAATTATAAACGTTCTCAACATGAAGTTACTATTGGAGTGAGACTGACTGCTTAACCTCACCCATTGCTTTCCTTTTGGGCTATTTCTTGGCTAGTAAGGACAGGGTCCTGTAAGTTTTGTGTGTAATGGGTGGTGGAAAAAGAAAAAGTATGGTAAAAGTGAATGATTGTGTGGATCAGAATGAAACTCATATGAGTTGTGTAGAGCATACCTATGTGTACAAGAAGATTTTTTTCAGTTCAGATAATTCATTAACAGAGAAGAATATTGTCCACTTTGAATGTTAAAAATAGGCATTTTGTTCATAATTCAATCACACTTTTTGTCAGAATTGATCTCAAAAAAGATAATGACTTTCTTAGATTCTGACTAGGAAAATGCGTATTTTTAACATTCAAAATTGAAAATATTTTTCTGTATAACAAGTCGTCTGAAGCAAATAAAACTTTATGTACACATCTTTAGGCCTGTTCTACACAGCTTGTACGAGTTTCATTCAAGTCATGCATTTTTATAATTTTTTGAAAGAACACTCTTCTTGTGCCACCTGGTATACATTGACCAGTCTCTGTCACTTATGACATCACAGCAGATTCTGAATATCGAGAGTCTCCAGAATTTTGCATTTGTTTCAGTATTTATACAAGTGATTTCCAGAGATTTTGTATAGTCACTTTAGGAACTTGCATCTTAATTATCTGATCCAGATGAGACTTATCTTGCAGAGATGATGATGCTGTTAAACTAGGCTTGACCTCAAAACTTACATAGGCTTGACTAGTTGATTCTGCCTTGTGGCATTCATAGCAGAGGGTTTGCAGTTTGTTTGTTGAGTGAGATGAAAGTTTTCGATATTTACAGTCCCTCTGGTTTCAACAGTGTGATGTGGCCTGATATCAGCAGGGAGGGCAGTCACTGATGCTTAATATTTCTGTCGTTTGATCCAAACAAGGATGTTGATCCAGATGAAAGCACAGGTACCCACATATACGACACGTGCCACAGGAGGTACAAAAATAAAGTTCAGTGTTTGTGCTGGTAGCCAGAACATACAGCTTGTCTGAAACAGATATCACCATCAGTAATGTGTCTTGTTTCTTTACTTAAACAATAAATATGATTATTATTTTGGACATTGTCTTGAGATTTTTCAGATACAGTGGTTCAAGAACTGATCTGTTTCTGTTATCAGGTGTAAGGGAAGAAGGATTCCTACTCAGTTAAGCCATTTAGAAGGAGCTAGGCTCAATTCCAGGGCTGGACCCTCACAACTGATGATGAAAGATAAGTTTCTGAAACACTGAAGAAACTCAATGGACCCAAAATAATAGTCAATGGTCATCAGAAACACTTGGACTTAAGTTTCTTTATTTTGAGTAGCTGCTGCCAGGTCAGAGTAGAATTACAAACTGAGGACTGAGGTTATAATGAAATGGTGACTGAACTCCAGGTCCTATGACTGATAATTCTTGGTCAGACAAAGGAAGATTTTGCATGAGGGAGTTAATTACAATGTTTCAGGTTTGCTCTTTGATTTTGGTGTGAATTTACCTGAAATGTTGGTACCATTTTTCTCCTACATTCTTCAAGTATGTCAGCTTTCCCCTCCATTGCACTCATAACTGCAGAATAAAACAAAGCAAATCAGTGGTTAGCAAACTGGTGCCCAGCTGAACATAATGAAGCTTAGTTGTTGAAATATTTACATACACTTAAAATCATGCATGTTCCATTATAGTCATTTATATGTTCATCACAAACAATAACATGTGTTAATCCTCTCTGTTGCCAACTGAAGCTGCATATTGTCACATGTAGGGGGGGTACACGTAACTGGTATTGTGTTTTAGATTTGATTGATAGGATTTATTAGGCATCTCTATTACAGTTACACTTGATTACAGCAGTTCACACGTAAATCCTTCTGGATGATGAATCTCTCGCTGTTGCATTGGTGTCCCACCTCTAGTATTCTCTTGAGCTCCATAATTGACTAATTCCGTAGTCTTGCAAACTCTTCTGTTCTAAACTTTTGGCAAACTGTGTAGAAGTGACCTCCTTCAACCACAGAATTATTGTATTCTTAGCTATTACTTTAGATTGAACGGTTCATTGCTGTGTGAACTGAAACGTTTCTATATGCATTGTTTAGGAATCAGCATCTGTCATAACCTCAGAGACATAATTTGACAAGCCATTACCTAGCAATGGATTTACAGGTCACTATGCAAGATGTATCAGGCACTGACTATGAATATTTCTATGTAGGATTTTAGGTTCTCACAGCAGTGGTCATTAGGAGTTCTGATTTTTTGGATAGGACATGTATAGTCCATTGGCAGTCGAGCACTGCTTGCTGCCTGCTTCATGCTGGTTTCGTGCTTGGCTTATTCTTCAGTCCCCAAAGAAGGAGGTGACATGTTCCCTGAAATGTCAGTTGACTTTCAATGGATTATAGTGTTATATCCCAGAAGATAGAATTCTTAATGAATATCATTTGTTCCATTTTATTCTTCACAAAATTTCCAAATAACTGTGTATGATTTATTTTGCGAAGCTTTGAATTCTAGCAACAAATTCATATAACATAAGTTTCAAATGTGCTATTATAGACTTTTCCATCCAAAGTGAGGATTTCAATGAAGGCCACATAAGAAATGTTCATTGCAAGGTAACAATACAATTGTTCCTTGTAGCTGTACACCACACCATGAACACAAAGTAAATATCAACTTCAGCATGGTGTTGAGAGGTTGTTAGCTTAATAACCTGGCTGCTTGCCACCCATACCCTGAGAAAGAGCACATGTCACTGATTCAGTAGGAGACAGATTGAACTCTAGTGCCAGTCTTGACATAATGGCAAACAAAATTCCTGTCCATGCTGGGGATAGACTCCAGTCATACAGTCTGTAGCCTCATACTTTACTGATTGAGCTAGACTGGTTGATAACCATTTAGTTCACAGGGGTAGTCTTGTAAGTGTGATACATGGTTATGTATCACAGCTGTTTCTTCTACATCATGTTTGAACTTGATAAGGTCATCATCAGGTAGATTAAGTATATAGTTGCTGTATTATATAGGTTTTTAGTTTTCTATTTTTTAACATGTTCAAACATGGTTAAAATTAGATCTAAATTATTGATGAATCTTAGAGCGAAGAACTCAAATAAAACAGTGCAGTCACTATGCATTTAATGTAAATCATGATGACTTTATAAGGTCAAAACTTGTTTTACAAGAAACATCTATAATACATGACAGTGTAGCACACCACCAGTCTATGGACATGACAAGAAGTTACACCTCCAAGTCTGTCTCTGTGAACTAAATGATTAATCAGTTTGGCAGGATACCAAAATATAATATTGCTGGTTCATAGTATTTATATAAATATTTGTAGAAAACATGTGGATGAAGGATTTGTCACTGTTTAAAAAATGGAGTACATAATTTAAATGATACAACTTACTAATAAAAAAGGCACATAGGAGAGGTGGAGTTAAGACAAACTGATCTAGCAGCAGCTTCTTCACGATCGTCTTTGTTGCAGTCCCTACATATCGCCTGTCCAACCATCTGTACCTACATGACAGTGAATACAATGATTTCATTAGCCTTTATGGCAGCCATATTCAAGATGGTTTACTATATATATATATATATATATATATATATATATATG